TAATTTTGTGACTCCCACCTAGTTTCCCCCAAAACCTGATGAAAGTGATAGTGTGAGTATGCCCTAATAAGCTACCTAATTAAAAAAAGAAAAAAAACAGAAAAAAAAAAAGAAAAAAAAAAAAGGCCACCTAGTTGGTCCCGAGGCCCTTTTCATGGATGTGCGTAATGAACTTTGTTGTGGTGTTTTATGTTTTTTTTTTTTTTTACACTAGCCCCGGCCCCGGGGCCCCGGCGGGGGTCCCGGGCTAGCCCCGGCAAAAAAAAAAAAAAAAAAAAAAAAAAAAAAAAAAAAAAAAAAAAAAAAAAAAAAAAAAAAAAAAAAAAAAAAGGAGAGGGGGCACTGCGTTTGGTTGTGTGGAGGGGTGATGCTGCACGTGGTCAAAATCGGTGTTGGGCTACAGGAAGAGGCCTATTGCGTGTGGTTGTGCGGAAGACCTGCGCACAGAATTAGCGTCGCAGTAGTGGGTGCGCAATTGCCCAGCGTGCCATGCAGCGAAGAAACCAGTTCGACTGCCGTACAACCTGAGAGGGTAGCCACACTCCAGCCAGGGCACTGGGGGGACGACCCCTAATAAGCATTCCTTGGGGGGATGACACCTAATAAGCATTCCTCGTGTCAGGGAAGTCACTGCAGCTTTGAAGTCGGTGGGTATTGCTACAGATAGGTTTGAATCTCGTTAGCTGCCCTGTGAGCACACCTGCAGGCTGATGAGCTGAGGCATTTGAGAAGCACTGGGGTAGCGTATGACAGGGAGTGTCCAGGCCTCAGCCTTATCAAACATGCCAATGCGAAGTGAGCCATCCGGCCGAACCAGGATTCTTGCCCCAAGGAAAAGACACGACCCATCTTGCTCAGTAGTGTCTTCCCACTCAAGACCATATTGAGCAGGAGAGAGGTGGTGATATCTTCCAAGATAACATAAGATGTCATCAAAAAATGAATCGGTATGTGAATGCATGTGCTTGCACGCAGTGCACACATCCCATCGGCGGCGAAAGTTCATCGACGAACTGTGCTTCGTCCTAATACAGTGTAAGGTTGGCAATCTCTCGTCCTGCGTTAGTGCCCATAGGGATACCTACCACCTGATGGCGCCCAGTGCCATCCCCTTGTGTAGAGGTTAAGTATTGGAAACCACAAACCGCAGATGCTCTTCTATTTCTCTGAGTTGTTCTTTATTTCAAAATTCGATTATTTAATGTAAATTCTTTGATTGACGATAGAACTCCAAATTTTTTAATTGTGACCATTTAGGGGACGAGGGAGGCATACCATATTTTTGCCTCACCCATGTCCTTCCTTCCCTGTTCTCTCGCGGTTACCATTTCCAAGAAAGTCCTCTTTTTTTTTCTTCTTTTTTTTTCGCTTCAACCCCCCTCAGAGACTAAGGAATTGTGTTTTCGCCATTATTTATGTTTAATGCAAGCGATTAATAGCATTTTGCGGGTGTTCCAAAAAAAAAAAAAAGAACAAAAAAAAAAAAAAAGAAACATCGTTCCTGAGGTAAGTTAGAGGTTCGTTCGTTAGCAGGTAACGGTTTTATTTATTTATTTATTTTTTTTTGTTGTCGTCCCTTAGGGCTTTCGCAGGTAACATTTTCATTTCTTAGGATTGGAAAGACGAGATCCTTTCAGTTTCTCCTCCCTCATTCAATCCATCAGCTGCTGAATGGCTAAGTTGGATTACTTGTTCAGTAC